GCCTGCCAAGTGCCTGTCCAGCCGTTTAGGTTTGCAGTTCAGCAGTGTGCCAAATAAATGGTGTCATCGTGAGCACAGATTTTGCACATACAGAGACAACTTTTTTTTTTATGAGGATAAAATGCTAATACTGTTGATCATTAATGTGAACTCAAATTCAACTGCAGTCAGATATTAAACTACAGTGTTAACTATGCTTATCCAAATTTTTGACATTTTACTGCATTATCAGAATAAAATTCAAGCATCTTAAAATGAAATTATTACTACAGCTGCTGCAAACGCTGCTTCATATGCTGACTCAGTTTTAATTGGGAACAAACCTTTAATTAAGTCTTTCCTGACTGTTCTCAATCACAGCCACATTTAAAATGGGCAATGTGCCCTCGAAATAAATAAAAACTTGTCTGGACATTCGGCCTGTATTATGTTCAGCTTTACTTTCAAGGACTAACAAATCTTACCTAACTTGGTATACAAAATGCAAAAGAAACACAGTTATACATATAACCCAAATTTTCACAAAAGTGAAACTGCTTGGCACTTACTGAAGAATAAGTGAACATATAAGCAACTTTAGGTAAACTAGGACGTCATCCACATGTAATGTCCACAGTGATTTTAGTTTATTACTTGTGTTTCCAAAAAGATAGCTCCACAAGTGCTCAGTCACCAAGGAGTCAATACTAGTCTTATTCATCACACAAGTTTACCTATTTCCTTGATTTTTGTAGTTTTTTTTTTAGTAGTAGTTTCATAACATGAAAATAATCATAATGCCAATAACATTATCAATATTATCCCAATGGACACAGAGAGCATGTTTACATATCATGTCGACAATGATTTTAGTTTATTGTGTCTACACAGAGATGGCTTCAAAAATGCTTAGTCATCAAGGAATTACTAGTCCAATGTATCACACCTGTTTACACGTTTCCTTGATTTCTGGAAAGATTCTTTTACATTTTCTTTTCATTTTGATTATCAGTATTTCAATAACATTCTAAAAATCATGCTGTCAATAATAATAATAATAATAATAACAGCATCAATGTAATAATAATAAAGTATCAATATTTATTATAAAAAAGTAAAATTTGCAAATTCAAGACTTAAAGTCAAGACTAGTAATTTAGGCCTACCAAATTACTTTTCTGTGGTTTTGCACTTTTGGAGCCATCTCTGTGTAGCCAAATCCACAATGGTTACAGTGTACACAATATAAGCCTGCAGTCATTAAGGGCTAAGCATTATAAATGTGACCCACTTGTCATCAGCTTCTTTTTGTTGTGATATGACCCACCAGGTTGTTTCATGCATGACAGTTTTTCTTTATAATAAAAAGAGAAATATAGCATGAAACTGTAATAGTTAATAGGTGTAGGAGACCATAATAAACACAGACTGACAAAAAATAAATGAATTTATTTGCTACTATTAATTTTTCATTATATGAAATGAATATCTTACATATATCAATAATTTCATACAAGCTTATTGTATTGTTTTAGGAAAAATCCTGAAATGACAAAAAAGGCCATAATTTTGCATAAACAGTTGCTACTTATTAAAAAAATTAATTATACTGACACGCATGGTACGATATATAATGACAGTCATATCTCTTTCTCTGTATGCTCAAGTAACCATGCTACATTTCCCCATTGCTTGAATTTAAAGAAAGAATTTTAAATGCCACTTAATATCAATGCTGTTTAATTGTTATGACGTTATCATTATTATAATGTTGCTAAAATTCAGATAATATAAAAAGAAAAATAAAAATAAATTTTTCTGTCAATCAACTGAATGGAGAAACAGGTGAAATAGATAGGACTAATAACTGACTCCATGGTGATTAATCCTTTGTGAAGCAAATTATAGTGGCATGGCATGGATTTTTCCCATCCAGGACAAATGAGATAATTCACCCTTGTGTGTAAAGTTTTACCAGGATTACTTGACCTTGGCTTACCTGCTGCCTGATTCAGGTCTTATTCCAAGAATAAATACTTATCCAAATTAGTTTAATCATCTATTTTAATCTCATTATCCAATAAAGAGTCTAATCTGATTTGTAATCCCTCCATTCACTGTTTGTTTCTTATAGTGGCTGCACTCAGTTCCATATATATGTATATTCCATATATGTATAAGCACACACACACACATACATATACATGTGTATATATATACATATACATATAAATATATATATATATATATATATATATATATATATATATATATATATATATATATATATATATATATATATATATATAATATATTATATATATATATATATTAATATA